GAAAGCTTCTGGGTCCAGACACTTTTGAAATAGTCCATAATTCTAACAAAGATAGTACGTATGTGGTGACTTTGAACTGACCTTCAAAACCACTTGACGTAGATTCTGTTCCAACGAGTGTGTGCATATGTCTCATAAAACATTATGGTAAGAAGTTCTAGAGGTTTTATGCTCCATTATATTATTGGGGTCTTACCCAGTGAACTTTGCCTTCCTTTGAATGTTGCAGTCTTTCCATTTAATACTTCTGAACAAAGTGAGCTGGTTGGCAAGATTAACCTCTTAAAGTTGCACAAGCCATATAAAGCTTGGCTTAGGCTAATAAGACTGTTCCAGCCCCACTGAAATATTCACTTTAATGGTCAGCAGCCCTAGAATAAGACTCAGAGATGGAAAGGGTCCAAGCATAAGTTAAGGCTTTGGAAGGCCAATGTCATTTTCCACATCCAGTAAATTGGAACGAAGGCAGAGATGAAATATATTCCCCTCGGTAAAGCAGTTAGAATTTATGTTGTGGTACTTTGGTAACCCGTTCAAATTATTATAATCCAGAATAAATAACCAGGAGGTTTTTTTCTTAATGTTTTAAAACCTTTCTGTCATCTTCTTCTCTCTCTAGTTCTCTGTCTTTCTCACAATACACAGAGGTGTGTGTGTGTGTGTGCGCACATCTGGACACGCACACACATTTCTGCACAGATGGCACTTTGCTTCTAAAAATATTCACCTACAATCTTAGTCCAGATTGACAAAAACTGGAACGCTTTTATATGTCTTAGGACCCTCATTTCCATTGTTGTGGCAATTCTTCTTGCCACAACATTGGCAAGAATTACTGAAATATATTCTTTGTGATAAATTTGCACCAGTTTTCCCAGAATTGAGAAGCAGTGTGGCACAGTACCACAGGCTTTGAATCCATCTACCAGTTTGAAATCTGGATCCTTAATCTTGGGAAATACACTCGATCTCTTTAGGCCACAATCCTCATTGTAAAATAGGAATAATTGTTGTACTTGGTTCACACAGTTATTTTGAGAATCCAGTTGAGTAATGCATGGTATGCACTTCGAATCACAATTCCAGGACTTAGGGAGTGCTTAATAGTTTTATGTATGTATGTATGTATGTGTGTATGTATGTATGTATGTATGTATGTATTTAGGTAGACCCCAGTGACCAGACATTACATAACTTAATGTGATCATCCCAATAAATCCCGCACCCATCCAGCACCACGCCTAGTTATTAGAATATTATTGACTATATTCCCTATGCTGTAGTTTACATGCCCATGACTATTCTGTAA